CGGTCTACAATGGCATTCTTCTGTGAAGTAGGAGGTTTTCTCCTTCACTGGTGCTGTTTGATTATCCTGAAATAACATTTTCTATCAAAAGGTATACATTTCAGGCTTTTTGTTAGTAATTTGTTATGTAGACTCAATAGACGGTGACTGTGTAATGTATCGTTCCGGCCAGGACATTTTGCGAAGGAAGGGTTGCCATTACTGATTACGGTGAAATAGCTGGCCCAAACTGGGAATCTTCTGGTCAAGCAGGGACATTTGGTCACCTTAGCTAAATGAAACCTAGGGAGGTGTTTTGTTTTGGGCCCCTTTGTTTTCTCTAGAAGACTCTTGTTTACTTTCAGGGAGTAGAACCAATCTGTTCCTGCCAGTTACGTAAGAAGTTCTATGTGGAAACAGGCTGGCCCCGTGTTTCTGATCTCTTCCCGGGGTGTCTCACAGTACTCTTTACATTATAGCTCAGGGCCCAAGCAGCCTGGCTGGCCTGCCTTTAACCCCGTTGTGCTAGGAGGCCGAGTGTGTGGGCCACTTTATTCTTTCCCATCTTGGTCCCGGTCACTGTCCTTTTTCTTAGCCAGGAAAACCTTCCCAGCCCAAAGATAAGACTGGTGGCTTTTTGGATTCACCCCTTTGCTGCTGTGTTCCACATGTTCCTCCAGTGTAGTCCAGGAAAGGCCCCGTAAACTGCAGGGATCTACTGATGAGGATGTAGGTCGCCTGTCTTGAGCATCCCTGATTCTCCATGTTGAATTCATTTTCATAGAATAACTCAAAGTAATTCCTTTCTCTATATTTGAGATAGTTGTTACCCCTTTCCTTTCTGACTTTTGTGTGCGTTCCTCTGGGTGTGTCTCTAGTATTTCATCTTACCTCCTTTACTTCGTGTGGGGTTTCTCTATTGTTCTTTCTATCTTTATAGTTAACATTTTAGAACTTTATCCTGGACCTAATGTCTTGTCCAATATCATCCCCTACAGATATCTTTCTGACTCTGAGACCAACCTGCCTCAGCACTGCCTGTCTCTCTTGGGGCTTTTCAGCTTAGATTTAGGGAGCATGTAGCTCTCTAATGTCTAGCAGGGTGAGAATCAGTGCCGGCCATGCACATCTGCTTGAAGTTTGCAGCGTAACAGCCATTCTCTCCAGGACCCTGCTGGTTGTGAGAGTCAGTGCAGGCCACTTGCCAGGAATACTGATAACAGAGGCCAAGCATGCCTCACTTCTTCTTTTCTGTCTGGTGAACTCCTACATATCCTTCAAGACCCAATTCATGCATCACAGCCTCGGAAGGTCTTGCTCAGCACCCAAAGATACTGAGTCACTGTCATCCATCTAACACTTGTACATACCTCTTTTGTATCTGTTACCGTGTTTACTGAAGTGTCTCTCTCCTCTACCCTCAGTGCCTGACACTGACTGCTCTTGCTTGACCTTCACAAATGATTGTTCCATGAAATAATAGATGGGCGATTTCCACTATTTCAGTGGCCATTGCATAGGCACTGTCTCTCTTTGGCCATTATAGATGAGCTGTGACGTTTCAGAGCTGAAGGCATTTCAGTCTTTTTTCCCCACTGTTTTTGAAGGCCTAGGATCTGGAAAGCTCAGTTACCAAAACGGCCGCCATTTGCTGAGCACTTACTAGATGTTAAATTCTATGTCTAGTTGTTTACTTGCAAAGTTGTAGATATTTCTTATTATCCCCGTCAAACAGAGGAGGAAACGGTCTCAGGGAGGTTGAGTAACTTTTTCAAAGTCACACAATTAGTAAGTGTTAGGAGTAGGAACTGACAACGGATTTACTGCCTCTAAAGCCCAAATTTTCAATTACTGTGAAATATAATCTCAGACAGCTGTGGGGAGGGTATGGCTTGGTGGTAGAGCACATGCTGAACATGCACGAGGTCCCGGGTTCAATCCCCGGTACCCCCTCCATTAAATACTTACATACATACATGCATACATACATACATACATACATAAATACCCTACTTACCTCCCTCCTAAAAAATTTTTTTAAAGAAAT